CCATCACCACCTACCACCGTCATCGCCAGTCGCAGATACGGCTCCAACAAAAGGGAGCAGTGGCGGTTCTGTCCAGCAGAGGGGATGACACCCGAACTGGCAGGAGCCTAGAGGTAATCATACCCGACCTGACAGAAGCTTAGGAGTGAGTGCACGAAGTGGTTATAAAAGGCTCCCTACCCCCCAAGAACAAGGTATGTGAACTTTGCGCCATCTGGTTTTATCTTGCCTTTGAAAGAATTCTAACTTGAGCTTCGGAGTATTCATACCGGGTTCCCTCCAGAGCTTCCTCATCTTCTCTGTTTCAGGCTCCCTGTAGCTCCATTCAGAGGCAAGGTCGTTGACAGCTAGGACCAGCCGGATTGCACATCATCAATAAATAATATAAATGCATGGGAGTGCAAATTCTCATTTCATTTTATTTTAGGTTTTACTTTATTCTGCTTTAGGTCTTAACTTACTTCATTTGTACTATAATCAAACAAAATAAGTTAAAATTTAAAATAAAAATAGATCAGAATTTGCACTCAAATCATTTGTAGTTTTGTAGTAGTGCAAATTTATTTGCATTGCAACCAAATACAACCTATCGTAAATGCATTTCCTTAATATTTACATATTGGAACATATTAGGATCTTTGTGTCTTAATTTTATAGACGCTACGCCTTAATTTAAAGCATACTAGCAGGGACGCGTGCGATGCACGGGAAAATCTGAAAGATTTAATAATTTTATTTATTATTGTCAAAATTTGTTGTTAATTAACTAAAAGTATTGAAAGTTGTTATTAATATCTAAAATTTTAATAATTTTATTTTTCATTTAATGTTGATTTATAGAAAATAATTATTGTTAATTGAATATGAATAAATATTTTTTAATAAATTTAGTTTTATTAATAATTTCTAATAATTCAATGATTTTTATTATTTTTAAATGAAATTTTGATTAACTTTAAATAAATAAAATAATTACAAAATCTAACATTTTTTATTAATTCCACTAATAATTAACAATTATATAAAAATGACAACGGGGTGGGTTCAGGACGGGGCACCCCATCCCTATCCTTGCCCCATAGTCAAGACACTCTACCCCATCCCCGCCCTGTCCCCAGTGTCAGGCGGGTTCAGAGCAAGGCAACCACTCCTCATTAAGGATGGGGAATCCTTGAATTTCCTCGCCCCATCACTGCAAATTGAATTTCCCTGCCCCGTCCCTTGAATTAATACTGAATTTTTCTAATACTATTAATCAATAAATACTATATTTTTTTAATAAATATAATATTTTTAATACTATTAATACTGTAATTAATATTTTTAGTTAATTAATACCCTAATTTTCTAATACTATTAATTAATTAATAATGTTATTATTATTATTATTATTATTATTATCATTATTTTGTTTTTATCAAATAAAATTGCAACAACAAATTGAAAATAATAAAATAAAGTTTAATTACACATCAATCACATAAATAACATAAATAATCCAAACATTTTGAAGTAGATGGCAACATAAAAAAACACAAAGTATCTAACAAAATTGCAACAACAAATTGGAAACACATCAATCACATAAATAAAGCAAGTATTTTCAAATAGATGGTAACAACAAAAACACAAATAACCTACACCAAGCATTTTAAACACAAAATTATAATAAATAAATGCTGTAATTAATAAATAAAGCAAGCATTTTCAAATAAATAAACCAGGCATTTTAAACACAAAATTTTACTAAATAAATGTTGTAATTAATAATGTTAATTAATTAATACTGTTAATTAGTAAAAATACTATAATTATGAAAAATACTATTAATTAAACCAACCTGTACCTGTACGGGTTGTAGAACCTCAAAACCCATTCTTCAAGCAAAAATACCTGCCCCGTTGCTGTTGTTGGGGGAGGGTAGGGATGGGTACCCACCGAGTAGGGTAGAAATTGCCATCCCTAGTTTAAATGTTGCATTTACTTGTCACTATATCAAAGCATGAATTGCCATACCTAATTATTAAAAATACTGTAATTATATAAATATAATTAAGTATAATTTTTAAAAATAATTACTGTTAATTATAAAATAATATATAATGTAATTAAATGTAATTTTTTAAAAATAATTACTGTTAATTATAAAATAACCATATGTAATGATTTTTTAATTATAAAATAATTACTGTTAATTATAAAAAATAATTACTTTTAATTTTCTGATAATTACTGTTAATTAAATATTTTGATATTTTCAGAAACATAGTTACATTGTTTTTGGTTTTTTTTTGAAAATATTGTTATTTAATAAATACATTTTTTAAACAAATACTGTAATTAACAAAATATTGTATTTATTGAAAATACTCTTAATTAATTAAATACTGTAATTATGATAAATAATGTTTGGTGACCCCCCGCCCCAAAGTTCAAAATGCCTGTCAATAAGGCTACGTTTGGTTTGAAGGAAAAGGTAGGGAAATTTATACAAGGGTTGTAAAGGTTTTCCTACCTTTTCTTTCCTTTTCCTATTTTATCCTTCAAACCAAACACAGTGTAAGTGAAAAATCTTACTGCCAATAAAAATATGTCCTCGTTACTTAGACAGCCTTTAAGTGAAAAATCTAGAGAGCTCAAAATGCCTGTCAATAAGTCAGTTATTTTATTTTTGGATTGTCTGCAGTTTCTTTAAATAGTTTGTCCGGAGTGTCTAAAAGCAGTTAAACCTAAGGGTGGACATTTGGTTTATTCAGCTAAAAATCGAATCAAATAAACCAAAATTTTTAAAACCGAAATAAAAATAAAAAACAAACCTAAACCAAAATTTTTTGTTTGAGTTTTGGTTATTTTGGTTAAAATTGAATTTTAATAATATATATAATATATAATATGGAAGTAAATTTCATTACATTATATATAATATTATATATTATATATTATATATTATATATTATATATTATATATTACATATTACATATTATATTACCAAAGTTCGATTTATTCGATTAACCGAATTTTTTAATTCTAAAAACCAAAACCGAAATTGAATTATTCAAAAACCAAATTAACAGAACAAAAAAAAAACACCAAAACCCAAAAAAATCAAAACCAAAATTTTCAGTTTGATTTTTCGATTTTAACCGAATTATGCTCACCCCTAATTAAACCAGCTTAGCTAAATGTTCAACTTAACAATCACAAACAGGTCCTAAAACGTCTTTTACTGGCTTCTCCAAAACAGCTTAACAAAGCTTTAGTCTACCCAAATGGCCAAATGGGCCCTTAAATATTTGATTCGGCATTGCACCCAAGCAGTTGCTATACCGTTTGGCTTTCTATAATAGGGCCGTAACTTAGGCAGACCCGATTCAAGTTCCAGTGACTTCTACATTTATAAAACGTTCTGTATTATATACTCTATGCATGTAGATGTATCAAATTTACTCCGGATTTGCTCCTCGCACCGACGTCACAGCCACATTCAACCGTGTACTGAAAATATCTCCCCATAAATAACAATATATGTACAGAAGATATTATTTATGGGGAGATCCATGGTATTAAAATTAGACCGAATTAAATGGTTGGACCAAAAAACCCAAGAACTAGTTAGGTAATTGATTTCATTTTACCTTAAAACCATCTTTTGGTTAAAAACCATTGATCTGGTCAGTGACTCGTTGATAGGGGTGGTCAAATCATTGACCTGGACGATGATTTTTAGTCATTTTTCATTTTTATTTTTATTTTTTTATTTTTTAAGTTAGAATGGGCCATCAATTCGACCCATGAACCGGCCCCCAGAATGGATCCATGCCAGTCCGGTTTTAAAAAACCTTGGGAGATCCGGACTCCTCCCAAGAAGTGGTGTTGGTGTAGAACGTACCCTTCTTATAGTACTACATAATCTGTTTAGTGTTTTTCTTTGCAGCGGTGTTTGGTTGCAATGCAAATTTAATTGCCCTGATGTAAACCAAATGATTTTAGTGCAAATTGTGATTTATTTATATTTCAAAATTTATCTTTTTTTATTTGATTGCAGTACAAAATAAGGCCTGAAGAAAAATAAAATAAAATTCAACAAGAAGTTGTATTCTTTTCATTTGTATTCCTATTTAAATAAAAGTGCACTCTCTGTAACCCAACACAACTGTTTATTGATAGGTGTAAGTGCAGTGAGGGAGATCTTACTCGTTTACTCAAATCCATAGAGAGGTATCATTGGTACGGTTCTTTGGTCTTTTGGTAAGTCAAAACTCAAAAGCATAGGATCGTATCTTGATTAAAATCGTACTCTGAGTCTGTCATGTAAAATTAAGTCTTTTTTTTTTTGAACTACTACTTTTTACCTCATTCAATTCTCTCTCTTTAAATCTTATTATTTTTTGATAAATGAACAAAAAATGATATACTAAGAAAATAAAGCATTACAAAAAGAAGAATCCAGCCAAGCAAGTAGGCCTGTCAATGGTATCCAAAACCTTACAGTCCAATATGAGATGTTTACATACTCGGATTCGAATTTTGCAATCTGCATCCAATTAATAATGAAAAATATAAAATATAAAAAAAATAAAAAATACATGAATTTTATAGAAAAATTTGGATACATGATTACTATCATTATCATCATCTAGAATTGCCACATGCAAAGCACTTGCACACTTGCTAGTGTATATTATATATATATGGAAAGAGAGAGAGAGGGAGAGAGAGAGAGAGGGAGAGAGAGAGAGAATCTTACTAGAAATTGGTAATGGGTGGTAACAGAGATTGGTGGTGGCAAAAGTCACAAGTTTGAATACCAACGAAACAGAATTACAGAACATAATCTAATGCCCTAAAGGAATGAGACTCAAAATTTTGTATGCAGCACGATAATTTTTTGTACCATGGGCTTGCCTCATTTTTCTTTTCCCTATGGCCCATTTCTCATTCTAAAATAATAAAAAGAAACAGAAGGTTGCTATGAGGACAATATATATCTTTACAGAAATTTATATCAAGGAATGAAATTTTATTGCTTTTCTATTGTCTTCCAAAATGGGTAGCTGAATATGAAGTGAAATAATAAAGAGACCAAACACTAGGGAAAATTTAGAGTAAATATAAAAGTTAACCGGTCTTTCAATCTTTCTTCAGAATGGAACAGCCCTTGGTCATCATTCCTAGACAAAGCATCCAGTCACCCAGTCAGAAGTACCCAATGGCGCTTCTTGGATGCAAATAGACTTTTTGAAGTGCAAAAATATTCCATCTTCTCATGTCACTAGCTCGGTTCAGGAGGCACTAATTTTAAGCTGCGCATCCATTCACAGAAGCTTGGATCATCAAAGTGAATAAAACTACTTTTGAGTTTGGCTCTCTGGTCTGATGTTAAAGATCGAAGCTGGGGGAACCTTGCCTCCTGCATTTAATCAACAATGTTCACATTAAATACTGCAGGCTATTTCTTATTCAGTCAAAACATTTTCTTCTTGGTCGGTCAATGTCTCTGGAAATATAAGTCTATTCAGAACATTTTTTCTTGGTTGATCAATATCTCTGGAAAGACAAGTTTATGATGGCCTCAGCCACTTTGAGATTGAAAAGCATACTTTTGACTAATTAACACATGAGTAGAACAAGTTCACAAGGATCAAACCCTCAAAAATAGAACAGAACAACTATACCTGCTCATAAGGTGGATCTTTGTGTGCTGGTATTAACCGAGAAACGAAGTATCGAGCCTGAGAACTGCCCTCCTGTAGCAAATCCAAATAAAGATATTTGTCTGTTTTAAATGAAAGAGAAAAAGAATACCAATGCATCAAATTATTGAATGGATGAAACGGGAAAGAATGAGATCATGAAGAAAACAAACCTTGAATGCAAGGATTCGAGGAGCTGGAAACCGAAATTCAGTGAGCTCCTCCACCAATGTTCTGCAAGCTGCTAAAGCTGCTGCACTTCTCCCTTCCTGAGCTGCTAGCTCTGCACCCTGAATGCCTAGGTTTTTTAAATGGCCAATATCCACAAGCATCTTTTATGTTCAAAAGATATTTCTTACATTATAAAAAAAGAACCAATCTTATAATATTATGTCTTTCAAATACATGCTTCCATGAAATATTTCCAGGAAGCACTTTGATATTTTCGGAGCAAAATCGTAATCATCACCTCAGAGTCTAATTGGATAACTGTTTTTTGAAAAGTTTATGGTCCTCTTCATTGTCTTACTTTTATTTTAATATCTTGGAAAGGTCCACACATCTATTGACTTTATTCTACTCTCTGTGTGTAACTGCTTTGGTAGGCTGAGCATTAGTTAGGACTGTAACAAGTCGGATGACTCAGATGCAGGTAGGATATACTAAGATCCGAATATTCAGATTCAAAGTCTGATTCAAATAGGATTCTGACCATATTCAAACACTATACATCATTAACAAAGTAAACTAAAAATGACCTAAATATTATATAATATAAATAAATGAACTGGAAATGATGTTATTATTATATACCATTAATCAAATAAGTAAATATTGGCCTAAACATTATACCACATCCCATCTTTATAAAGGGGGCACACCCCTACTGAATAGACCAATAGTGATGTTTTGAAAAGACAGCCACCCTTCTGCACCTACTTTGATAAAAGTACTTGTCTTTTCACAAGGGATGTGCCCCATATATCAAATTTGGGATGTGCCCTAACCAGCACACATGTATACTTGTCACAATGGAATTTAACAAAGGATGGGATTTTTAAGTATGCTTTCCATATTGACATGGAGAACATTTATGCTTTTTTATTATTTTAGATTGAAATAATGATAAAAAAATAGACAACAATGTGCACATGATAAATCAGTGCTTACTTTTAGTCATTAGTATCAATGTTCTATACAACATAGTACAATACAAATTGATGATGCGCAATCCGGCCGGTCTTAGCTGTCAGCGATCTTGCCTCTGAACCGAGTRACAGRGAACCTGAAACAGAGGAGATGAGGAAGCTCCGGGGAGGACCCGGTGTAAAGGCTCCGAAGCTTAAGTTAGAATCCTTCAAAGGCAAGATAAACCAGATAGCGCAAAG